TTTGGGTTAGGCACTGCTCACACCTCCTCCTCCCCCACGAAGGGAGGCCGTCTGTATTTATCGCGCGAACGAGGCTTTAGAGTGCCCGCCTGAGTGCTCCCGGCTCGGGGGACCCCCCGAGCGCAGCGAGGGAGGGGAGGGAGCACGAATGGCGGGTCCTCTTCGCGCAGCCCCCATCAAGCGCCACAATGGTAACTTCGATCATCAAAAAGTGCGCGCTGATGCGCCAGCGTCGGTGGTCTTCCGTGTCGCGCGTCCCCCACCCTCCTCGCCCGCTGCACCTGCACAATGCTCTCCGTCAGTTGGACAACGCTGTCTCCTCAATTGCGACCTCCTCAGAGAAGGAAGTGTCCGCTTCTTCGAGCTCCTCAAAGTTTGCTCAAGTACAAACTCAGTCTGTGGCACTGTTCTAGCCATCAAAATCCGATGCGCCCATACTGATGTCCCAGGCGAACAGCCAATCACCTGCGGGATTGGGAGGTCTGATACCTCCCTGGCCCGATATCCCAGAGGTTTGCATACCTCGTTGTAGGCTACTCAGCTTTGATCGCTCTGTGCACAAGTTGGTTCGTCAATATCGTGCTCATGGTTCCGGACGGTCCGGGCTCCTTGACCAAACGTTCGCGCAGAACGCAAGCCCGTGTGTCGCCACACTGAATGGCACAGTACTCTCGCCAGGGCATGCTGCGACGACTATTGTACGAGGTGGGAAGAGCGTGAGGCAGAATGCGTCGTCTTACTGGATCTCCGGCGGCATTCAACGACTATGACAAGCACTTCCCTTCATCGAGTTCACGGGCTACAGATGTCGATCAGGTCAGTCTTTCACCGTGGCTTATATGGATCTCCGCTATGAATCACCGCAGGCTGACCTGCGGTGCCCTAGCCACTAGCTACAGCGAATCCGATTGTTGAAACAGCTGGAAACCCGACATCTTCCCTCACGCGGTATGGTGTAATATTGCCCAGATTCCGGTGATAGAGATGTCTGGCCTGACTATCGCAGTGGTGGGATGTCCCCAGTCCCTCCTTCCACCCCGGTCGCAAACCCGCCAATGGGTCATTAAGATCGGATTCGGTCTGCTTCTGATCCTGTGGCTGCATTCCACAGATTCTCTGCGCCTCCTATACGATGTCGAGATGTTTCCTGAAATTCACTGCCCTCGCCCTAATGGGAGAAAGCGAGGACCCTCAGGTAGGAGGGACATTGCGTATGCTTCCGCTCCCTACCGCGCAAATTCTCCACCTTTCATTCCTTTCCTTTGCACCTCATCTCTCATCTGTCGCACCATTGTGTGATGGGAGATCTTCGCAGGATACACGCTGTTTACGTTGTTCCGATCTTAGGACCTCTATATCGTACTCTACGACAAGAGGCTCGTGCTGTGTTTCACAGGTTGGTGTTGTGCTTGTGCTCTCTCTCTCCGGTCCACAGGAACGTGGGGATCTCCGCCGGACTGTGACTTAGCACTTGATGGAATCTATATGCTAACGTCGTGTGAGTGCAGACAGGACGGCTCGGACATACCTCTTCCCGCATCTGGAGCAGCACCTTAACCAGGTCGTAAGGGAGATGGACGTGCCGGATGTATGAACAATGTCGTCCGTGGTGTTCGCAGGCACAGTACGTGTACTACGCCATCAATGTATGCTTTGGACCACAGTACATACAGGCGCTACATGCGTTTCCACCCAATAGGGATGCAGTCTCGTATCCAAGCCGCAACGATTCGGGCCAGCGATTCCAGAGCGATTCAACGTGGGTCTGCATCGAAAGTCATTGGACGACCTGGCTTTCGACACAAGGCGTCTAGGCAGCGGACTATGAGAATGACATAGCGAGACAAACCGCGAACGAAAAAGAGAGTATGGTGTCAGGCGCATGCTGTCTTCCTGAAACTCCTTGCTCTCCATGCGGGTGATGTAAATGAATAATGTGCTGGTATGGCCGATGTTGAATCTCATATTATGTAATTGAGCTCACATTGTGCTCACGCTGGTCTTGTTTCGTCTCGTACTGTATATTTTGTCTCAGAGTCTTGTTTACATGTATATATATAGTCTGGCTCGCAACGCGTAGTACCTCACGCGTTTGCACTGCGCCCAAACGCGACTTCCTTTTTTCCTACAGCCGAAAGCCTGGAAGGTTTCTTGCGATGAGGCAGGCTCCTCGGTTGCTTCGAGTGCCTTGCGCGCTCCTTGGGGGGCTCCGCTCAAAACCTCAACTGCGCTGATCGACGTGGCGGGAAAACGATATTCTCGTGACCAGACGTTCGGGGCGTGAATCGGACGTGAAAAACCGGGTACGTTAAGGAGCTCGGGAACCTCGGATCTTTCGTTCCCGCTCGGAGCTCCGAACCTCTGGTCGTGAGCGAGACGGAATCACTGCCTTGAATCGCTGTGGAATCGCCCTAGAAGCGCTGCTGTGTTCCGCCCGGGCCTATAGCTACCTATCACGTAGTCATTCTCAATCGCTACTGAAGGTAAGTCTCAGCACATTTCTGTGCACAAGTCATATCGCTTCTAGCTCGGCTCGGCTCACCTCATTGAGTTGCAACATGCTCTGCCCGCCCTCAGTACTTGCGAGAAATAAAAGCCCCTTGTCGATATTCTCCGTCACGATGTTTCCAGCACGCGTGGCAAATGTGCAGTGTCACGACCACATTCCATGATTTGTCATTGGTTCATACGGTTCATCAGTAAAACGTGCAAGTTCTGAACGTCTTAAAGTTCTTAAATGCGCCGCCCGCCAAATTGCGCCGCGCCTCAGCGGCGTCCAGCGTTCGGTTTCGCTCCAAATTTCTTGGGAGGCTTTCTATCTATTATCTCTCTTGGATTACAACATTTATTGAGGCTTAGGAGGTCATACGCAGCCTGTGTACCCCGAACAACAGGAGTTCTTAACTGAGGTCTTAGAGCTCTGAGGTGGCGGTGCACTAACGCCCATGAATTACTGTAAAGGGTAGGTCTTAGAGCTCTTAAAGCTATGCATATCGTTCTGACGCCGTTTGAAGTGACTTCAAACGGCGTCAGAACGATATGCATAGCTTTAAGGCACACATTCTGCCGCGGGCCCCCGTTATCGACTCTCCCCACCCTCCGTTCCCTCGTCGGGGCAGGACCACTGAACAAGGTATCACACAGACCAACTACTTCCAGCAGCTGTCTCACCTCACTGCAGCTAATAGAACACTTGTCTCGGGTGGTACTTCATACCCTTCACAACCGTGACTGTCAACCTATGATTTGGTATGTCGAGAATCAACGTATACTTACAGATCTTATTCTGATCTGCATCAAATCTTGTCTCATACAGAAATGTGGCTCCTCAGTACAGATCGCGCGGAACTGCACTTCTTCGTGACCCCGGAGGATATCAAGGAAGGCTACGCCATCCTCTCCCATGTATGGGGCGATAAGGAGCAGTCATTCCAAGCGATTCGTGCATTGCAGGAGAGATGCGAAGCTGACCATTCCAACCCTCGCGACCAGGCAATGGACAAGATACGGCTGTCTTGCGAAATCGCGGAGTCTCACGGGATGCGGTGGATCTGGAACGATACGTGCTGCATTGACAAGACGAGCAGTGTCGATGTCTCCGAGGCAATCAACTCGATGTACAGATACTACTCCCTCGCGAAGGTGTGCTACGCCTATCTTGCAGACGTCCCTAGCTCCGACGAAGTCAGTGACGACTCGTCCGCCTTCCGCGGTAGCAAATGGCACGAGCGAGGCTGGACCCTACAGGAGCTTCTCGCGCCTCGATTTCTCGTCTTCCTTTCGCGGGAGTGGATGGTGCTTGGAACCAAGTACGAGCTCGCCTCCGTTTTGACTGCGGTGACAAGGGTCCCACAAGCCGTGTTGATGCAAGAAGTTCCAATAACCGATATGAGCGTCGCCGCTCGGATGGCGCTTGCAGCATATCGCCAGACGACGAGGCCAGAGGATAAAGCATACTCACTCATGGGTATCTTCGACGTGAACCTTCCGCCGCTCTATGGAGAAGGTCTCAAGCGGGCTTTCTGGAGACTCCAAGAAGAGATTATGAAACACACTCCCGACACCACGATCTTTGCGTGGCCAGGCGGCGGGATTCTGTTGGCGTCTGCGCAAGGGCATTCCGAAACGCCTCCTCTCAGCGAATTCCATCCGATGCATGTGTCCCACGACAATCATTGCAGTTCTCTTCTTGCCGAGTCGCCTTACGATTTCAAGGAGTGCCACGACGTCCAATTCGAGCCATACAGTCCTCAGGACAACCCTTTCACTGTACTGGGACCTACTGTGAGTTCTCCTTTATCAAGCACGTAGTAGCTTCAGACTCACCCCAATCAGTTTGCGTCCTCGACAGACCACAACGGGGAGCTTCAACTCACAGGTGTTCCGTCTTTCACTATCACACCTTACGGGGTCCTGGCCCGCATCCTTGTCATAGAATGGAAGAGCTCCTGGACAATAGCTCTCCTGGGATGGTCTAGGAAGGGGACACGCGCGGGGCTGCTCCTCAATCGATGCGAGCAATCTGTCGACCCCCTGCGCCCTCTATACGACATCGGCCGTTACCTTACGCCTGAAACGTCTTTGAAATACTCGAACCAGGACTACAGGATCATACAGTTAGAGGGTACCAACGCCCAGGAACTCTCGAAGCTCGGAACCGTGTCCGCTGGGTGGAGAGAGGTTTATCTTGCGTATCATCGGAAGCCAGTGGACGCGTCCATCACGAGTCTTACAAGGGCTTGGCGTGTTTTGCAGCTCGCAGAGCTCAGTTTCTCGCCACCATTCCGCTTTTCCCAGGACGACAGCCAAGGTGGCGGTATCTATGGCATGCACCTTGACGAGGCTCACAGTGCCCTATCCATGGGCAGGTTACACTCGCCTTGGACTGGGGCGGAGCCGCTCGAGCTCGCATTGTCAGGTTCTTTCGTCAAGACAACCTATCCCGGCTTTGGCGTCCGGTCTAGGCAGATGCCATGGATTGGACGGAGCCAGCGCTTTGTCGTTGGGACGACCTCGAGGAGGTTGTATTTCGCCTGCACGTTTCGCTTCGGCCGATGCACGAACCAAGAACGCGGTTTCTCCTCTTCTAACCTTGGTCCTCACTGGATTGCGCTCGCGCTCGAATATTCGGAACAACCTGTTGTGGCCAAGAGAGAGCCGTACAAGCAGCACTCGTGCGAAAGAGACCATGTAGATGTACCCCACGGGAAGGGACAGAGCGCGAAGCGAAGTTATACGTCGCATCTCAGCCTCCGATTGACTCGCTGTTCATTTAGCCCTCAGGATACCATACTTGTTTCATTGTACAATGCTGCGACAGTGGAATCGTATAGATGTGGCCCTTAGTGCTTGTTATTAGCGGCTCCTGGCCTTATCGCTCTGAGTTTGAATCCTCATAGTCCACGATACAACGTCGCGTTCCGATGCGTTTTAGACTCTGTCTCTAGCACTCCCCTCTACAATGGTGTACTAACGCAAGAGATCGCGGTTATAAGACTCTTGCGGCTTGGTCGCGATACGATTTTGTGTGCACCCGAAGTCTCTGGAGCGTTTACATGATCTCATCTGCTGATATCCCCTATGTGACTCCGGTCTCCTCTAAAACTTCGGAAGGCTGTATTCATGCCTCCTTCGCCTTCACACCCCAACCATCTACCGTGACGCCCATCATCGCCGGCAAGATCATCCACACCTCCCTCTGCAGCTTCTTCGGCCGCTCCCCCTCGAGCATCTTGTAGCACCGCATGCACAGCTCCCTGTCCTCGTCCCGCCCGTCCACGTACACCATCCACGACGCGTACCAGTCCACGCACGAGATAACGTCGTCCCGCGCGTTCCCGAGCTCGTTCAGCAGCCGCTGCAGCACGCGCTGGCAGCACGCCGGCTGGCGGCACGCCGCGGAGACGGGCGGCCGGAACATGAGGTGCGCGATGCGCGCGCTCGCCTGCGCCATCTTCGCGCGCCCGACGAAGCACCGGCCGAGGTCGTCCAGCGGGAGCGTCTCGCGCGTGCCGTCCTCGCGGACGAGCCCGTCGACGATCTCAGGGCCGAGCGTGCAGCAGTCCATGAGCGCGGTGGGGAGCATGCTCGGGGTGTTCGTGAGGCGGGCGAGGTTGACGACCGCGATGGAGTGCACGGCCTGGAAGGAGGGCGGGCGGACGAGGGTGGACCGGTACCAGGCGTCGAAGTTGTCGGCGTAGTACTTGCGGAGGAGGTCGACGTAGCGCTGGACGAGGCCGTCGACTTGGTACTTGTGCCCGAGGCGGACGCAGGCCGAGACTTCGTGGAACGTGGGGTCGTGTTGGCCGGACCTTTTTTGGACGCGGTCAGCACGGGGACGCAGCATGTATGCGGCCCGTTGCTCACCGTATTATCTTTCCGGACGAGCTGCAGACGAACACGCGCAAGAAATGTCTGAGATCTTCGGGGGAGTCTGTGAGGGGTATGATGGGGCATGATGACTCTCCGTGGCGCGTCCGGCGTCCTGAGTCTTCAGCAGGCTGTGGAAGGGATAGCATGTCGTTGAAGACAGGAGAGTGCGCGATGAGCGGGCCCTGGTAGACCCGGAACTCGACATCCCCAGCGACCAGGATGAGGTTGCCGTCCTCAAACCAAAACTCTTCGTCTCTCTTGAGTGACGCTGTCTCGCTTACCGAGACGTGAGGTAATAGAGGTGATGCAGGCCTGCTTGGTTTCATCTTCTCAGTGATCTGAAGTGGGGAGAGTTAGCACGCATACTCGAAGTCCCTGATCCAAGGCATCAACTGAGCTGCCGTCTTCCACTGACGGGCTTTCATGATGCGCAGACGTAGGGATACATCATACAAAGTATAGGGTCGCATGACCAGGAGGAACGCAGCTACTCTCGGCGTCGATACATGCCGACCTTCATCCGACAGAGACTAGTGAAGCATGACGATGTCATGAAGGCCTGGACTAAAAGCCCCGATGTTTCGAAACCGACTTCAAGGAGCCATTATCGAGTGCAAGTCCACTTGGCTTACCTGGGCGATGACTCGTGACGGCTACTAAGGCGTTGAGTCGATGAACTCAGCCAAAGTTTCGATGCTAGCTGTGGATTTATAAGTGACGTCGAGGCAGACACCATTGCATCCGATTGGTCAGCTTACGATATGTGCGAGTTGGGATAGTGAAGGGTTTCTCGTGTGTCCAGATCGAGCACAAAGATGCGCGCTTTGAGGACACCGAGGTCAGCGTAGCTGATAGCCAAAACCTTGCAGTGCGAGATGAGTTTGTCAGCCCACAAAGAGGTCAAAAGATGCCGAGACGAGTGCCCAGCAACACGGTGGTATTTATGCGCAAGCAGCCGCTTCAGGAAGGGAAGGGCCCACAGGGGTCGTGTCATGAGAGGTCACATGTGGGGCTGAGTTGACCAGTGGCTGCGGTGCTGAGTCTAAACCACCTTTGCCTGTCGTCGAGGTCCACCAGTAGCTCTTCCCATGATGTCTGACAACACACTGCCAGCGAGGTACGAGAAAGACGAAAACAAGTTAATGCGTGAAATTGCAGGTGAATGTTCGAGTCCAAATCTTCAAGCGCTCGACCGCTTGCGCTCTGGACGTCAGCCGCCAGCCAATCAGATCCCTCTCCATAGACGCCAGGCGAGGGAGGGCTGGCGCGTGAAATACGCTGAAATACGTGGACGTCGTCCTTGCCCTTCTCCTCGACGTTTACGACGATACGACACGATCGCCCTGAACCATGGCGAATTCTCCGGATATCTCCAATATTATCGATTTCTCGAAGCGGTCTCTCCTCATCTCTGTTGCGTCCATCGCGTTTAACCCCACCGCATGGAACATCGTCGCGCGCAACGGTGCGTCATCATCCTGACATGTGCGCACTGCTGATGTACTCATGCCCATCGCGCGCGACGTTGTCTGCTATACAGAGTATAGGAACAAGACGATAACACGGCTCTGTGGTGGAAATGCGCGATATGGCTGCTACTTTCTCGCGCTCTGCATCTTCTCCGCCGGCATGGTCCGCGACGCGCTGTACGTCCATATCTCACCTCTCGCGCGGCCCAATTGCACATCCCTGACTTATGAACCTTTGCATACCGAAAGTTACCATGAAGCGTTGCAGGAGCAGCCCAAACAGAAGATTCTCCCCGAGCCCTTCGACACACTCGTCCCCGCCGTCCTCTTCATCGCAGGGCAGATATTCGTCATCACCTCCACATGGGCACTAGGAATAACCGGTACGTTCCTCGGGGACTACTTTGGTATCCTCATGGACCACAGAGTCGAGGGCTTCCCCTTCAACGTCCTGCGCGACCCCATGTATGTTGGAAGCACCCTGTCCTTCGCCGCAACAGCGCTCTGGTGAGTCCCCTAATTCCCCTCGTCCCATCCCTGCCCATCCGCGCCCTGTCCCGCGTCATGCACTCCTCCTGCTCGCTTCTGTTGTTCGCGTTGCACACGTCGCGCGGCACGCATCGCGATGGGCATGCGGTCTCGTGACGTAAATAACAGCATATTGACCAAATCACGTTCGAACACCTAGGTACGAGCGCCCTGCAGGCCTCCTCATCACGCTCTACGTCTACATCGTCTACCTGATCGCGCTTCGCTTCGAGGGCCCCTTCACGGACATGATCTACTCCAACAGAGCCGCTGCGGACAAGGCTGCGTCCAAGAAGGAGCTCTGATCCCTGGCGATTATCGCCGCCGCCCTTCAAAATCATCACGGCTGTTTACGCCCTGCGTCACGAGTCTTGACGTCATCACGATTTCCTTGGACCTCGGGGGTTCACACTGCACGCGACTGCTAGTCATCGCCGGCCCATCCTGCGTTGACGCGGATCTGACTAGAGGTTCAACACCCGACACGTATTGACACTTGCATGGACCCGTACCATAGTGTAATTCAGTATACTCTCAACAGCATATTCCTGCAATCTATCTGTTCGATCTGGTTCTTGCTATGTTCGTACAAAGCCGCTCAACCTGCGATTTCATGGTCACGACTCCAGAGGGACTTGTGGACTGGGGGCCCGGGGCGGGTGGTAATGAAGCGATTGTGTGGTTGCAAAATTCAGATGTGGACCTGGGCTGCCCTTATCTCGTAACATATTGGGTGGGCTTCTACTTAGTAGGCGTGCCGCGACCCGCTGCCTGCTAGTCGTAACCGCCTGGAATCATCACGTTTTTCTAGCATGCTATGGAAATACAACCTGCAGCTACGGACACGCACGACACCTTCGTCCGCGCGAGCTGAATGTAGTGGTGAAGACTCGGATGTGTGCAACTCAATGTCCGGCGTCGGCGAATCGTGCGAGCGGTAGCACGTGTCATCGGCGCCTGTTCGCCTGCACCGGGTGATTGGAGTTTCGCGAGGGAGGCGACTTGGTCCCTGCCTCCACCCCCATTAGCTGCCAATGTATTCATTACTTTCTCTCATGCACTCGTAGCGCCCGGAAATCGCCATGACTGCTTACTCCTCACCGAGGACGTCCCTAGACTGGTGCCCGACTTCTAGGACTGAGACACTGCGAACACACTAGGGGCCGCAGCATGCGCTACCTCTCCACAACCGGGAGGACAAGGTCAAGAACGCCCGAAACTAGTTGAAAACAAATATTTACAGGGACAAGGACAAAGCAATAACGAGGCTCATCACTGTACGTCTGTCTTAACCCGTGAATTCACACAGTCGATCTTTATGGGCAGAAACGTCCTTGGTTTTCGCGCTCGTGGTCTTCAAGGGGCTCAAGAACTTTTGTTTTCAAAATTTCAAGATCGGAAGCTCGCGTATATCTATCTCCTCCGCTACGTCGAGCAAGGGCCGGACCTCGCGCGATCGTTCTTACAAGTGCTCATCATCTGCAGTACCGTCATGCTCTCCGTCGAACAGTGGGCCGTGGACAAGGGTACCCCGCACGTTTGCGACGCAGCCGTACATGCTATCCCGAAACTCTACCAGTCAGTCATACGTTTGCCATGCATAGATATGTCTCACGAGCGACTCTCGGGATGGCGGACAGGTGAATCACGAACCTAGCTCATCAATGTTGTCTCTACGCTTTTCGAGGACTAGTTTCCGCCCTCGCTCGGAAGTGTCGCCGTTGCGTTCGAGGGTGTGTGCCCGACGCGTCTCAACCTCTTGCGCCAGCACTATGCCCACGTGATCCTGCCTCGACCCATACCTGGCGTGACAGCAGCCGGGATATAGATCTAGCTAGGTTCCATGACTATTGATATGCAAGGCCACAATCGTTGCAAGCCGATTATCTCGCACATCGTTTCGCTGTTTCCAGGGGACGGCCATCTCCATTTTGCGGTCCCGAGTGACGCAATCGATTTGGGCACGTCAATCTATTCGACATTCTGTCGTACGTGGGCGCGTTGGGCGAGCTGCCAAATGTCTTTTTAGGTGCGTCTCAACCTCCTTTTGTTCCATACCTTAGAGGTTGTGGACGTCATATGCTGATGCAGAGCAGGACTGCGGAGCCTAAAACGGATCTGTTCTTTGTCGAGTACTTGGTGTCAAACCACGATTCGCACTGCTGCAATGAAAGCGCGTCAAATCTAATGTCACATATGGCGTACGTGTTGACCTTTTGTCTTAGTAAAAAGGAGACAGCTGCTCACTAGCGTTCACTAACGTCTCTTCACGCAGGTTATATGGGATCACAGCATGGCAAACGCCCGCGAGGGTTGCGTATTGAGCTAAGTACAAGTCTACTCACCCCGATGACGGCTATGTTTTAGAGTCTAGTCCGTACATGCAAGTTCCCCAACTTCGCTGCAGACCAACACCTTAGCCCATAAGCAATAACCTCGAAATGCCGCAACGGGCCAAATGTTACAAGTGCGGGTTTAGATTGACATATTCACAAAGGCAAGATCTAACAGCTTGAGTGGGCATAGCTTGTTTGTATGCGCAAGTCGCGGTCAAAGCGATGCGTTGTGTTTTTTCAACACATCATGTTTCGTAATTCATACGCTGCACGCACTGTCTACAGTCTCCTATCACATATCGCTTCGGGATCTTCTAACCGGCCCATAGGCAACAAATGTCAACCTGGCACGCCATTGCGTAGTAGGTCGAGCGGACTGTGCTGACGGAAGTCCCCAATCAGGGACTACTGGCTTGTTGCAGAGTTCTCACGAGGTGATACTTCTAGGATGCAGTCTCCTTGTGCCTGTAGAGACTGCGCGCATACACAAGTGCCTTACTCCGTGATGAGCATTAGGAAGGTGAGTCTTGACCTCTATGCTTCTGAGACGATACGCGACTCATGCCTCATGTCGCTATCTCACTCATGGGAAAGGGCGTGTGGTAAGATCGTCATTGACTGGCGACGTGCTGTTCACCTGGATCTGGTCTTCGACTCAGAATACGATGACTCTCGTTTCTCCACATTCCTGCACCGCAACATTTCCGTCGCCTGTCTAGTTGATCAACGATATCACAACGCGCAGAGGTCTATGAGCCTCAGCACCACCCTCTTCATCCTCTTGAACTACCTCAAGTAGCCCCTGCGCGTCCGTATCGTTAGTGTGACGACAATGTCGAGCACGGAGTGGGACATGCCCCGGTGCGAGATCAGGCCGAATGTCTGGAGTCTCTTCGAGCACAACTACACCTCGATGGACGTCGCCCGGCGCAAGCCGAGCCTCAGCTTCAGGTACGTTCTCGGCTTTGCTCGATTCGTCCCAGCTCGGACTGCGCTGACTTACAATAGGGTGAAAAATATCGTCTCTTCGGCCTCCTCCGGAACATCAGCCTTCTCGTTCACGACTGTCGAGGATTTGTTTCACCGTCCTGACCAATGACGCACATGCAATGATCTCGTGTTCACGGTGATCCAACCCGTCTTGTCCATCGGATTGGAACCCTGACACGCTCGGTGGTGTGCCCCTCGCGCATACCGTTGTTATTCGACCTTTATAGTACGCACTCCTCAATCTCGTGGATGACTTCATCGCGCTCGCAGGACATGAGTGGTACGAGGCCGCCAGTGCGCGTCGCAGAAATTACGTGGTATGGACGCCTTAAATGTCATAGTTTAGTCCTAATCGTCGGATTGAATCTCCGAGTCCTCCCTTGAAGAGGTAGGATAGGTATGACAACTATAGTTCTCAATACCATCGAGTCACTCAAAGGCCTTAACTAGAACTCTCTAGTTTGGATCGCGTCAATCCACCTGCCCATCCGGCCCAATACCTCAACGCGCTCAGGATCATGCCATGTGAACACGACAAAGTCGTGCACAGCATCCGGAGGAACATCTTCCACCACCTTCACCCCGTCAGCCCTCATCCTCTCGATCAGCGCAGTCGACTCATCCAGCCCACGCTCGGCACCTCCGACAGCGACGTATGTTTCCGGAAAACCCTCGAAAAGACCCCGGCCCTTCGTCGGCTCGCATTCGAGCGACGAGGGCGAGATGTAGCGGTTTGTCTTCACCACCTCGAAGTCGAGCGCACCGCGGTACGCCGTCACCTGGTACTCCCCAAAGATCGTCCCGGGCTCCTCCGCGCCAAATATATCGATCGGACCGTTCAGAACGTTCGACGAGTCGGGACCCACGCGTGACATGGCAAGGTCGAACCAGCCCGAGGCGCTCAAGATGCGACCCGGGGGCGGCAGGGATGGGATGGGGTTCTCGATGAGATGACGGGTGAGTGCAACTGCAAGACTGCCTCCTGCAGAGTCGCCGGCGACGATGATGTTCTCTGGCGCGAAGCCTGCGTCCTGCACGAGGTAGCGGTACCCGGCGAGCGTGTCCAGGAGCGCGGCGGGAAATGGGTTTGCGGGTGGCTTGGGCGCAGATGCGCTCAGACGGTACTCGATTGCGAAGATGCGCTGGAGTGTCTGAGAGCGCTGAAGCAGCCCGCGAGGGAAGTTGGCTGTGATGTCAGAAGGATGTGCTGTCCCCCTCTAGTGCCCAACAGGAAGTCAGACTATGATACAACAGTGAACAGAGGCGACCCGATACTGACATAGAAAGCACCGCCATGCATGAAGAGAACGGTTTTCTCCCCGGGTTTGGCCTTTGGACTGTCCCATTCCGAGTCCTTCTTGAGATACCAGTAGCCACCGATCTTGGCTGGGCGGACACCGGTGATTTGGCCTAGACGACGAATTTCGCCACAATACAGCTCGTCGTCGACGCCTTCCACCCACACAAACTTGGCATCCGTAAGAGAGCTGTCTGGGATGGTAGCCGTCAAGTCCCTCTCCTCGTCCTCCCAGAGGTCAACTTTGCAAGAAAAGATCTCTTGGATGAGTTTGACGATCATAGCCCGTTTCCATGTCCAGGTAGGACGAGGTCGTTGCGAAGGCAGCGCGTACTTCAACGACCAGAAAGGCAGCTTCACGAGAATGAGAGAGCCAGCCCAGTATATCACGTAGAGCGTCTTTCCCGGCTGCGTGTCGATGACACCCATGATAGATAAGGGGAGTGAGACTGAGGGCAAAACGATGCTCCTAGTGGGGAGTGGATCTGGGGCGAGGTGAGAGTACCGTTGGAGCTCTGGGGTCTCGCAGTCTCTGCTTCCCAGAGTCTGTGGTGCACAGAGAGGCGTTCTCCCAACGATAGGCAACCAATTGAATAACCGAGATAACAACAGAAAGTTCGGATACGTCCAATCGAAGCTCCTTCGATCAGCGAGCGCCGAATGAGACACCCGGGCGGCTGTATGAGCGGTGTACGTGCGCATGGCCTTCAATTCTCGGTTCCGATGTCAGCAAACTTCCCATTTAGACCCCCACAATGTCTAGACTATTCGGTTCCGATGCTTCGCAGGTCAGAAGCTTCCTCGAAGACTTGGCTTATGATACTGATGATATACGTCTGCAGTCCAGCTATTTCGATAGAGCTAACTCAGCTCACTTGACTGCTGCCGCAGTTCTCAAAGCCTCTTTATAGAGCTTCTCATGAACGTTCATCCAGAAGAACACTGAGATAGCGTAGGACAGTGCTTCTGAATGGTCCTGAGTGGGAATGAGGGCACGAAGCAAGGTTACACCAACATTCCTGCGTGTGGTGAGACTCGTTCCTGCACGTGGTGAGACTCGTTCCTGCATGTGGTGAAACTCGTCCCCGTTATAGTGTCAGCCTTGCAGCATCGCTCTGACAAACAAGATAGTATTCGTGGCGGCCTCTTCACTCACGAGACTGCTCCAAGGTGGAGTATCCCACAATTCTTGGCCACCTGCAGCAGTCAGTTCTGTCGGCGATATTGCTCTGCCGCTGTCAAGTATGCTGTGATCGTGGAGAACATGACGGCAGGCTTCCACCATTGGTACGACTCTATTGTTATATAGAAATTATGTTACCAGAAAGCCACTCGGAGGCACCGATGATTACTAATTAGGGTAGAGTGGCTTCTAGTGCATTTCTACAACAACAGGTCGTTGTGATACACTTGGCTGACCGATCAGAATATCAGGATCCTGTGCGTGGTAGGTTCGCTGTGGTCACATAGTGGTGGGAGAGGGCTGACTGCATGTGGCCTCCTAGACAACATGTCTACCGCTCCCGCCCAAGACAACGGATGGATGTTCTCTTCCAGACATGGCAAGGGCGTGGTGCCAGTACATACATATGCCGAGCACAGATCAATATATAAAGCTATGTTATGTCCCGTTGAGCCTGTGCGTTCACATCCTCCCTTCAACTTTGCTCAGTATTGCGTCATGTTATCCCAATGGTTCTCGCACTCTTCTTACCTACATCAATGTGATACGCTCATCGTCGACATCAACGATCTCCTGTCCCCACGGTACACCAAAATAACCACATCCATTCCACCAGAGATGCTCAGCCGAATCCTCCGTTCCTCCACTTGGTTCGACTACGAGAGGGGCAACTTGACTGAGGCTGAGTGCTACTCAAACCTCGCAACTGCGTACGCCCTCCCAGAATCCGATATCGCAGCAGCTGTGCGCTCATCCCTCACGCTGGCACGTGTAGTGCCTGAAGCCGTCCGCATACTTCGGGACATCAAAGCGACGACTGGCGTGCGCATACTGTCCATGTCCAACTTCTCCGCTCCCGAATGGAACGCCCTCAGTACCCAGGACGACTTCGCGAAACTTCTAGGCCTCTTCGACTGCAGTTTCACCTCAGCTGCGGCGGGGGATCGCAAGCCGAACCTTGGCTTCTATCGCCATGTCCTTCATTCTAGCGGTATAGATCCCCAGAAGACTGTGTTCGTGGATGGACGGTTGGAACACGTCGTTGCTGGAAAATCGTTTGGCATGAAGGGTATAGTGTTCACTAATTCCGAGGAGCTGTCGCGGGCCCTGAGACCCTTACTTCGGGATACCATCGCGGACGCGGAACGATGGCTCCATCGTCACCCGAAGCAGCTGTGGTCTGTGACAGATACGGGTGTCATCATCGAGGAGAACTTTAGTCAGCTTCTTCTGCTCGAGATCACCCAAGACGAGGACTTAGCGGACATCGTACGCTTGCCCAGATTGACGAATTTCTTCCGAGGTGAGTTGGATGTCATGCGGATGAGGGTGCCAAATGATGCTGAGAACGTACACAGGTCATGGGGTATTGACTACTGCCGCCTTTCCGCATGATTTGGACACCACGTCGATTGCGTGCACTGTTTTGGATCATTTCGGCCCTCAAGTCAAAGACGATATCATGAACGAGATACTTTCCTTGCGGAACGAAGACGGCTTAGTCCAGACATACTTTGACAAAACTCGTCCTCGTGTCGGTAAGTCCAAGTTAGGCGTTCGACTCTACCTCTAATTGAGAGGAGGCTTTCTTTCTAGATCCCGTCGTATGCGTGAATGTCTTGACATTCTTCTATGCGAATGGCCGGGGGTCAGAGCTGACGGAGACTCTCGACTGGGTGTACGACGTCCTCGCTAACCGCGCATACGAGGGCGGGACCCTCTATTACCACAGCGGAGACGCTTTCCTTTACTTCCTCTCACGGCTTCTCCATGCATCCCCTTCACTCACCAATCGGTTCAGCGCTCTGTACGCCCAGCGAATCGTGGAGCGTTACGGCGCAAGTGGAGACCCGCTGGCTCTTGCGATGCGTATTTTGGCTGCGGCATGCATGGGGATGCGCGACCTGCAGGACTACGAACGCTTGCTCATGCTGCAACAAGAGGATGGGTCGTGGCCATTGGGATGGTTCTATAGGAATGGTTCCACAGGGATTCTAACAGGGAACCAAGGGGTTACAACTGCCATGGCTGTCGCCGCCGTTTGTCGTTATCGAGGACTCTGACATCTAGCATGTATAGTGTGTCTCAACAAATAGATGTGGATGTTTGTTACTGTATGGTGAAGCAGAGATCTAAGCACATCGAACGAGAAAGCATACCTTGAGACGCGAGTTTAGTACTCCCACTCCCTGTTCCAGCAAAATTGCACATCGCCCTGCCACGCTTTGACAGATAGGTGACCTAGTATGCGTACATCGCCCGCGCACACAACGGACGACATTTTGCATCCGGCACGTCCATCTCCCTTACGACCTGTTTTGAGGTGCCCCAGGCGAGGATTGCACCCGGACAGCGCGCATGATTCTTGCTTCGTGCCCAACATGTGATACACAAACGCACCATTGAGATATCATCGCCGGTATCGCGCGCTCGCGCTCTCGTGCTTCCAGCTTGAATCGTCATACCGAGCCTCTTCAAAGCCCCCTACTCGGACCCACGAGTCACTGGTCATATTCGACAATCGATCAATGACGTGATAAGGGATATGCGAATTGAGTCCTCACAATCTGCGTTAGCAATGAACAGGGAGATGGATACCATGAGTGCCGGCGGAGAGCGAGTTGAGAGTAAGGAGTCGGCCCGTAGGCTGCATTTTGCATGGTAGACGGCACATGAGCACGCGTGGCCGGCGTCTAGTAGCCCGACGAACGCGTGCTAAGCCCATTGTCAGGCGCTGCCATTGTCCGACGTTGTCTCGTCTCCCTCTGAACCTCTATTGCTTGACTGGTTACATCTCTCAAAAGAGGTGTACATATTTGTCCGAGAACAAAACCGCTACATAGTTAGCTACTATCCTGTCTTACTCGGTACTGTTCGTAAGTCGCGTAAAGTCTATGTAAACGTCGTAGGGAAGGCTCAAGGCGAATGGCGAGAAGGCATTTTTGATATACCCATGGTGAATAGAGTCTGTTGGTACTGTCCACCTGTATTCTCTGAGAAGCATGCTGATTAAGACTCGCTGCTCATAGAGGGAGAAGGTACGTGCAGGACACTGGCGTGGCCCAAGCCCGAACGGCACCCAACTTCCCTCTTCGACTTTGCTTGTCTTCAGAAAACGTCCTGGCTCGAACTTTTCTGGATCTGACCACAGGTTACTGCTGTGAAGGATAGCGCACATGTTCAAGACAATCGGTGTTAGGGGCGGGACGACGTAGGAGCCGATGTGCAAGGGGATGCTGGCAACGCGTGGTATGGTCACGTTAGAGGGATTGTTGTATCGCATGGACTCCCTGATAACGGCGTTCAGGTAAGGCATCTTTGCATAGTGCTCCATCCTCGGCTCTTCCTTCCCCATGATCCGCAGGACCTCCTCACGCGCCCTCGTTTGCACCTCTGGATATGCGCCAAGAAGGTAGACGAGGGTGGAGAGTGCGCCAGCAGTCGTGTCCTGCCGACGGTTCAGTACTCGTTTTCTGGACTGAACAGTAGAACTCACGTGTCCGCCCATGAATGTGACGATGACGTTATCCCGAAACTCGGTCTCGGTCATCTCTGGGTCTTCGAACATGTACGTGATCATGTCATTACCCGGATCGTCACGTTTCTGGGCAAGTAGCAATCTGAAGTCCTCGACAAGGTCGTCTACGAGGGCCCTTACTTTGGTGCGAGGGAGCCAGCGTTCGAGAGATGGAATGAAGATGTATGGGGGAGACGAGATGGCCTTCATTACCTCGTGGTACTTCTGGACGAAGGGGCCGTCCGGCTTGAGAAGCGCCTTGAAGTCGTGTCCAATGACTGTCGTTCCGACGGCATCCAGTGTGAAACGATGCGTATAGTCATTCCAGCGAATCCGTCCTCCCGTTCCCATCATTTCGAACATACTTCTGGCCAGGCTTGCGAACTGCTCGATTGGCGTTGTACGGTGCAGCGCATCATGGACGATCTTGGCGTGACGTCTCCACATCTCCCCCTCTGCTGTGAAGACGTTCTGGCGGCCTGTGAGTCTCCACAGAAGCATGGTCTCTGGGACCGCCTGCTTCCTGACTGCTCTGTCCTCCATGAACCGTTTTCCGTCCTAAGCATTGCTCTTGTGAGCCTGTGCGTGCTTTCCAATCCATATGCTGCATACCTTTGCGTCTAGGACGTGCACCATCCATTCCCCAAAACAAAAGAGGAGGACTACATTGGAGCGGCTTTTTTGAGCGAAAGGAAGGATGACCCTTTTGACCCTCTGCTCCTCGACCTCGCCAGATAGGTAGCTGTGAAGCAGTGGCAAGATAGGAACTTGTGGGATGTGGGAGAGCTCCGGAGGTACGCTGACCCACCGACGTATAGCGACAGCGAGTGAGAGGAATAAGGCAAATACTATGAGCTCAAGTGCCATGATGGGACGGTGGTGGGCTAGACGCGCGGATAACTCGGAGTAGATATTCAGTCCGATGAGGATCGAGGGACTTCCGACTCGTGCTGCTTCCGCTGACATAACATGACGCTCAGCTATTCCTAATGACCTATCATGACATGAGCTCGGGGCTCGACACACATGGCTGTTCGCATCAGCCCGCATGGAGCTCAATTTGTTTGTCCAGCGTTATTTCATACGTTCTCTTCTGGGTGACCTGCATCGTGGTGCTGGTGATGCTGTATCTCGCCTTTGTAACTCCGCTGTCCTCAAGGGACCCTGTGGTAGGCGCGAGCTGCCGATATCGCATCAGCTGCGAAGCTTCACCAAGTGCCGTTGTTCAGGTATGCTCTGCGTATCACAGCTGACTCTCAATTTCTTCCAAGCGCATCACGAAGAATCACTGAAATATTCCCGTCTTGGTCTAAGATAGCGGCTTTACCCTACATGTCGGAATCTCTGCTTGTGTGCGGCACTTATGTCGCACTTTATCACGCTATTTCTGCTTCGCATACCCTCCAAGCGCCTCCATAATACAATCGGCTTCGGTTGTACAGGATCGGAAGCTGTTCTCCTGTGGCAACACTTAAGTTCATGTACTGGTCCCGTCACATGAGAAAGTAAGAAATGACTTACAAGTTATTTACCTTTCCAGCAGGTTTGATGCGGAAGAAGTCGATATAGAGGTTCTCTGGTATGCTCAGCGCGAAGGCTGAAAAACCGTTCTTGAGGTGAGCCGAGTGTGCCGAGTGTTCTGGAAGCGTCCACCGCAACTCCCTCAGAAGCATACTTATCAGTACGCGCTGCTCTGTCAGAGAGAACAATCGCGCAACGCAGCTCCGAGGTCCCATACTGAAAGTTGAGAAGCCTGCGGCCTCATTACCTCCCTCGTCCAGGAAGCGCTCGGGATCAAATCTGGATGGATTGTCCCAGACGGAGTCGTTGAAGTGGACCGCGCAGATGTTGAGAACCATGGATGTTCCCGGCGGGATGATGTACTCCCCAACTCGGATGGGGACGTCTGAGATGCGTGGTAGAGTCGTATTCGAGGGCGTGTTGCAACGCATCGCCTCGCGGAGGACAGCATTGAGGTACGGGGTTCTCACGAAGTGCTCGTTCTTCGGTTCTGCATTCCCTAGCACCTCAAGAATCTCCTCCCTTGCACGCTGCTGTATCTCCGGATTGATGGCAAGATAGTAGACAACTGACGCGATGGCACCGGCCGTTGTATCCTATCGGAAAAGCGGTCAACGTTTTTCACAAGTTAAAGCTTTACGCGAAAGACGTACGTGTCCAGCCACAAACATCACGATTGTGTTGTCGCGATACTCAACCTCAGTCATGTCTGGATCTTGAAACATGTAGGTGATGACATCGTCTCCAGGATTGGCGCGTTTCTCGTCCAATATCTGGCAGAGGTCGCTGACAAATCGATCGATTTGTCTCTTCACACCCACTCGGGGCACCCATCGCTCGAGGAGAGGGAGGACGACATAAAGCGGGTTTGAAATAGCTGTCATGACGTCGTGGTACTGCTGGACAAATGAACCGTGAGGATTCTTCAGGGCATCGAAGTTGTACCCGACCACCGCGAGCCCAAAGGCGTCAAGCGTGTAGCGAATAGCGTAGTCATCCCATCGGATTCTCCCTCCATCACCCATGAGAGAGATAGTCGTTTCTGCGAGTGATATGAAGGTGTTGATGGGGGACGTCTTGTAGAGTGCATCGCGGGTTATTCTGAGATGACGCTTGGCCATCTCGCCGTTTGACATGAAGATGTTGTCGTTTCCGATGAGTCGCCACAGAAGCATGTCCTTTGACTGAGGTTTCTTCCACACTTTGGGGTCTTCCAGCATTCGTCTGGCGGCCTGCAAGGTTGTGAGCCCATATGGCTAACATCGACGTTGTTTGGAACTTACTTTGGGCTCCAGAATCTGGACCATCCAGTCGCCTAGACAATAGACAAGGACCACTTCCGTACGCATTTGCTTGGCAAACGGGAGTACAAGCCTCTTGACGCGCTGCTCTTCAACCTCTCCGGAGAAGTAGCTGAGGAGAAGAGGCCAGAGATGAACCTTCGGTATATGGCGCAGATGATGGGGAACTCGCAAAAGATGGTAGATGAACACACAAAGGGTCGCAAGGACAAGTACGACAGTGTTGAATACAGCAAGCAGCATTCTGAAGATGTCTCTCTGTAAGAAGCGTGAAGCGAAAACAAGGCTGTTTACAGTGATGACAAGCAATCGCTTTGACTTTATAATGACACTTCGACCGACTTCACCGATAGTATGGGAACGTCAAGGTACGAGTCCCATTGTGAGCACCGAAAGGGCTCTGTGATTGTCAAACGATAAGTGCTCCTAAATCCGACAACAGTCAAGGAATAGGTAGGAAGGAGATATGGTTCTTTGGGCGGAGCTTTCTGTTCGTCGGCCGGGGCGGCAAACACGCCGCCCTGATGCTCAGCATCGGATTCTCTTTGGCGTGCTTCCACATTGAACTATCCCACGTCTTCCTATTCGAAAACATTTTTTATGACAGATAGGGCCCATCTTATGAAGCTCTCAACATGCATGCGTGCGCCCAATCACCGCGCAGCTGTCACGGTGTGTTCTCCTGTCGAGCACCTCACTGTCTGTCTGTATTTTTAGCAGATATGTGGTCCTCATGGGTATGCCTTTGTTGTAGCAGAAGGAAAGAAGCTTCTAGTGAGCGCCTTCAGCGAGCGGTGGCGTGCTTAGCTTGGAGGGGGGGGCAGAACTCTTATACAAGCCGGCCTCGGATTCGCCCCCAGTGTAGAGGTATCCTCTTACAGCCAACTTGCAACAGCACTCAGCATGTCCTTCGCACCTCCTCCCCAGCCGACGACTGAACTTGGTCGCTATAGGGTGAGTACTCCAAACATGTACTCGTAACGGATGACAATTAACGACTCAATCAGTTACTGTCCCCTTCCGCCGGTGGTATGTTAAGGTGGTGTCTCAATCTTGAAGCATTCTATTGACCGCCGCTGTTTAAAGTGCGAGTGTCTCCGATATGCCTTGGCACAATGTCAATCGGAAAAGCCTGGACTGAGTCCATGGCAGGAGGTATGCTGCCGTTCTATGATCCATTCACCGACTGATAGCTTTGGCGTGACTTAGCTGTCAGTGAGGAAGAGGCACACAAGGTATTCCTTGTACATATGTCACTCACTACGACTTGTTGACATTTACGGGTCTCTAGTACCTTGACAAGTTCTTTGAGAATGGCGGAAACTTCATTGACACAGCTAACAATTATCAAGACGGCGAGGTACGTGAACCAACCATGCCTGCCTTCCCGACAGAATCTCAAGTTGAGTCACAGAGCGAGCGATTCATTGGATCTTGGATGGCCAAACGACGCAACCGAGACCAGCTAGTGATTGCAACGAAGTTCAGCATTGGTCACAGGAACATGGATGCGAACGTCCAGATCAGGGTTCGTTCACAACAGAGTTTATAGATCGTGTGCCTGAGAGAGCGACACTTGACGTTCGAGGCCGAGAATACCTACACTGACTCGGAACTTCTGCTTTTCATAGGTCAACTATCAAGGGAATCATCGAAAGAGTCTTGTTCTTTCAGTGCGCTGTAGCTCATTTAACATTGAATGACGCTAACTCTATCCTGATTTTTATAGGTGCAAGACAGCCTCAATAAGCTTCAAACTAGCTACGTTGACATCCTATACCTTCATTTGTGCGTGTGCACATAGATGTATATGTCTGTGCAACATCACGAATTGAACTTGCAGTTGGGACTACTCCGCATCCATACCCGAGATTATGCAAGCTCTTGACTCCCTTGTCAAGACGAACAAAGTTTTGTACATTGGAGTCTCCGATACGCCAGGTATGCACACCGATTATGCTACCATATCGTGGCGCTCACTTTTTGTGTCAAGCTTGGCTTGTTGTCAAGGCCAACGACTATGCCAGGGAGCATGGCATGGCGCAATTTGTTGTGTGTACGTGATTGACCCTGCCTTACTTCCTGTACAAGCATTGATTCAATTTCCCGAATAGATCAGGGTGCCTGGAGTCTGGCCAACCGCGACATCGAGCGGGAGATTGTTCCTATGTGTCGTGCAGAAGGCATGGCCATCGCACCATGGGGCGTTCTTGGCCAGGTGTGTTCCCATGGTGTGCTACCGAAAACGACTGTCATTACTCACATCCAATAGGGAAAATTCAAGACAGAGGCCGAGATCAAGAATCGGAACGCGGTGCGGTATGGCATGCCGCAGACCGAAGAAGAGAAGAAGGTCAGCGCCGCACTGGAGAAGATTGCCGCTGAAGTCGGTTCCGGGGCGACTCTGGGTGCTATCGCTGTAGCTTGGCTCATGGCAAAGTCTCCGTACATATTTCCGGTAATTGGGGGGCGAAGCACTCAGCAACTTGACGAAGTTATCAAGGTTCTGCAATTTCAGACTTTCGTTTCCTACGTGCATGAAGCTTAACTTGTCTCATATCCAGGGGTTAGAGATTGTTCTCACATCTGAACAAGTGAAGGAGCTCGAAGCCGCAGTACCCTTTGCGCTGGGTTTCCCTTACAATTACTTTGGAACTGATCCCGCTCATGGAGATGGCAAGCCACACTACTTTGTGACTGCTGCGGGCCACACGAAGTATGTTCGGTCGTCGGTGGCTCTAAGTCCTGGGGCCTGAAGCTGGCGTCTCGAAGCGCTCTTTGTAATTCCATCGATGAGATGTGCTATTCTGCAGCGTGTTTCTGTAAATGTAAGAGTAGTATGGGGCCAGCGACTTCGGAAATGATATCATTAGCAGCCATGAGCTACATCCCTTTCGGCCCGCGTCTCGTGAGTCAGTGCAGTCTGATAGACGGTGGTTTTCACGGCGGTGGGAGCCCTACATTCAATAATCAGCAATGTCAGGACCGACGCTGCCGCAGAATGTTATTCGGAAGGTTCGAACTGGCGATATGATGCCATTCTTCATAGGGCGCTGTTTCTCTAATGCTCTAGAAGTTCGGCGATGAACCAACTCCGACGCCTATGCCTCATTGACAGGGGTTCTGACTGTGGGTCCATCGCGCCCAGGCAACCTATATGGTACCCGGTGCGCTCTCGTGAATAACCAATAGAACCCGAGTCGGGTCCACGCTAGCGTTATGTCTCTGATAGAAGACGGGACCCAAAGCACTTCTCCCTTATCGCGCGCCATACTGTCCACATGGTTCCAGAGTGCCCTCCTAGACATCGAAGGAATCCAGCCAGGACTCTCAGATAGTCCTAGACCATCTCTTTCCTCAGATGGCTCATCATTTGATGCTTAGTGAGCTGACGCACAGGGCTCGGGATGAGGTAAAACTGCACAGGTCCCGTCTTCTATCAGAGGCATAGGGCCGCCAGCGTGGACCGGACTCTGACTCTACTGGTCATTTCTGAGAGTGCCCCCGATATCATACAGTTTCCCCGGGCGCGATGGACCCACAGTCAGAACCCCTGTCAATGAGGCATAGGCGTCGGAGTTGGTTCATCGCCGAACTTCTAGAGCATTAGAGAAACAGCGCCCTATGAGGAATGGCATCATATCGCCAGTTCGAACCTTCCAAATAATATTCTGCGGCAGCGTCGGTCCTGACATTGCTGATAATCGGGTGTAAGACTCGCACTGCCATTAACAACACCGTCTATCAGACTAGCCTTCCAGATGTCCATCTTGTTGCAGCACGAGCCGTACTAGTCAGCGCCTGCGTTTGGCTCAATGGGAGATGCGGCACATTTAGCGACGTTTGCCAATTGTGCCAAAGTCAAGCGTCGGAACTCTACCCCAAGAAGCACTGGCGTGCGAGAGGAAACGCACCTGGCCGTTGCAAAATTTGATGTCATGTGGACACCGGGTGTACCGTACTTGACACCGGCCTTGTTGGTGGAGAAGCGGCTGTTGCCGCCGTCAGCGTCCATCTCGGCGAAGTAAAGCGCGCTGTTGAGGCTGCAGGGGAGCTGCGACACATCGACGTAGAACGTGAACTCCTGGTTCTTGAGATTGAGCAGCTCGTACTTAGAATAGGCCATGTCCATCAGGTACACGCGCGAGCCGATGATGGTCGAATACGGGCCGTTCGTTATCAACTTGAGTGTGAGCGCGAGTTCCCTCTCGTCGTGATGCCGACTGCACTGGCTCACGGGACCCGAGCCCAAAGTGATGCAGATCATCGCCGCGAAACATGTCAATTCTGAAACCGCTGGCCTCATACTACTATCACACGTCTAGGAACGCGCTACAGAGCAACAAGATGGGTGTCAAATAAGGAGCAATATCAGAAAGATAGGCACGATAGGCGGTCGCGCTGGACAGTAGGAATGATCAATACACACACATGTAAAAATGACAAGACTACGCACACAACGAGGTAAGGATATGTGTACAGGACTCCGATGTTCACACTGCAGCCGCCAACTTTTCGCCTGAGGTCGGATAGTCGCATCTAAACTCCATCTTTTCCAGGGAGCCACCAGATGAACCGCCACGCTTGAGATGTTGTCCATTCCCTCCCTCAAGAGATGAGAGGGCAAGTGTAGACGCATTCGAACCATCGAAGGCGGTGGAGTTCGTTGTAGCCACTGCCGACGGCGCACGGAAGGCGATCGTAGACTTCTGGTTTGTGACGTAGTAGTCATCTTGCCTTGTGAAACCACTGTTGACGGCGTAGACGATACAGGTCGGAGCAAGTCCCTGGGCGTGAGAAATCAGATCATTCGGCCAAGATGATGATCGCAAAGTCGTACTGTGATCTGAGGTATGCTCTCATACACAATATACATAGCGTTCAAGCCCGTTAAACCATCAACAGGGGCGAGTTGGAAGAGCGTAAACTCAATGAGCTTTGCTGCAGCAATGACAGCGCCAGACTCCACGATGAGTAGGATGATGCGAGTGTAGCGGTTCTGATGATAGACTCCAATGGCAGTGCGGTTGCGTCGTGTTACCCACCTACCACCGGAAGGAAGAATCAGCTACAGTCTGTTTAGATTTGAGTATTTGTTATCTTACCATATACGACCTCCAATGGCTGCCGTCACGATAATATTTGTGGACATAGACATCACAAACATTGCTGTGCCCCACTTGACCATCGTTTCGGGTACAGGATGGGGGAGGAACCACTGAGAAATAGAACCATATCCAGCGACTGAGACAGATGATGCATCAGATATGCACAAGATGTACTCAAAGTTGTACGTACTGAATTCACCGATAATCAATAAGCCGGGAACGAGCACGGCCCAAAGGTTCTTGCCCCACACCGTGTACAAACGCCAAACAACGACCAGGTCGCCTACACCAAGCTTGATGGAAGCTACGTCAGAATCTAGAGTCCCGTCACTGTGACGCAGCGACTTACGCTAGTGATATAGATGTAATCTTTGGCCATATTGAGACGAACGGAGATATTGGCGAAGTACATGACAGGACCGATTGTGTCCCGATAGAGTATGAATCCCTGTATCAAGCGAACGAGAGCGAGAGACATGTGCGCGGTTGCGAGAATATACCTGCACACGAATTGTGAGCCTCCGTGTTGCAACAGCTACCCCAATGAAGACGACTTACAGGACACTGATAGTGAGTGTGGTGAATTTGTTGATACCATTCCGACGCCTCTTGTATACGGAGAATATGGACATTCCGTAGATCAGCGTAAATAGTCCTGTCGCCTATACATGAGTTGTTGCATCACAAAGGTGATGTATGTGTCTCCTACCCCAAAGGAAGGACTCGAGCCATCCTGCAATCAAGTACGATTCGTCAATCGGGAACATTGGGAGAGCCATAGCGCAGGACCTTAGAGGGTAGCAACCAGGGAAGAGTGGGGGTATCAATTGCCTTTATAGTGTTCGTGGCTGGGTGTGTCATACCTTCTCAGGCACAAGCGAGGCTGAGACTCACTGTTTGTAGGCGTTTTGATGCACCACAATTGGGGTTGTGGCGAGGAGTTCGTGAACAGGTCGTCAGGCGGCGCCCTAGGGGCTGTTTCTTGATCATCGCAGAAACAGAGAAGCTTGGCAACCCGCTTGATAAGGGACGTCCAGCTGACTAAGGCGATAGCTCACAAACAAACCAGCGGAGTGACCAGTGGGATTGGTCCCGATTTTCTACCGACGTTTTGTATCAAGGTTTGCGATGAGGCTCAGTTGGACGTATCATTTACTTAGCGTGCTGACAGTGAAATGTCATTGTGCTAAATCGGGACGCGCGCCCGCTCGCAGGACAGACTCCGAGTCCTGCGAGATACACCGGAGTGACAGCTAGCGTGGAAGAGCTGCAGAAGTCTTCTGCCCTCCCATCATGATCATGAGCGCGCCTCGAGTTCCGAGAAGACGTTTCTGGCGCTCCCCAAGAATAGGGGTGTGAGTCGTCTCAGGCGCTTCCGTTCGCTGGCGACGCCGGCTGTTCTCGAGGTGTACTTGCTGCTGCCGTCGACCTCTGCCTTGCGTAACCATGGCCCAAAGTACTATTCTCGACAAACAGCCTGCAAAGTCTCTCTATCTAGCTTACTTTGTGAGCTCTCTTATCATCTGCAAGCTTCCGTTTTGGTCTGTGCGGTATGCTCGTCCCTCCCAGCGGCCTCGTCCAACCTGGACCTGGAAACGCACAATGATCATCCGGACGATGCAGGAGCTATTCTCATGCAAAGTCAAGGTCAAAATCGGGTCTGGAAGAGATACACTCTCAGCCGTCCCCGACAGCTCTCTAACTGACGCCAAGTTCGTCTGGGTGGAGGGGATCGATGAGTCGTTATACTGTGGCGAGATCCGCCGTCTGGGGGACATCACTGGCGTCCTTCCCGCCCGAATCGCGGGTTATTGGTTGCTGAAGAAGGGTGCCGTCTGGGACGGTCCCAAGGCAAAGCCTGGCGAAAAGACTGTCCTCCACTTGCACGGTGGAGCGTTCTATGTGTGTAATTCAATGCTGCTGACATCTTACCTGCATGCAGTGAAATAATCGA